CTGATCGGACCCTCCTGTCAACGATGAGATCGCTCTCAAGTTATAGTGACCCCTCCACTCATTCGATTCTTTTGCCACAGTCGTTTGTAATCGATTCTGTACTCTCTTTAGAAATTCTCAAAGTCAGAGACTTAGCCTCCTTCACGTTTACTTGTAGTCCCCTTCTGCCAGCCTTGATGCCATGTATGTTGAACATCTTTCGTTCCGCAATTAAAGTGTTGAGAATTCGGCTCAGCTATCTTTTTTCCTCCAAGCGCATCGCATGCCCTGGCTTTTACCCCGTTTGAGTAAACGCCTTCTCAGCCTTCATCTTTCCTACTTCTCTACACACCTCCTCGTATTGGCACACCTAGATGAATGCGTGGTTCCACGCGGCTACCACGTAAAAATGCGCTTTGCCATCAAATGCATAATAATGGTTCTATCAAATAGAAAAGGAAGGCATAAGCAGAATCATGAGTTTCGTTTCTGACTTGCGCTGACGAATCCTCAGAAGAGGTCGGGCTTGAAGCGCCACATCGCTACTCATTTTCGAACGTGTAATACCGGTAACGTTGTGTCTGATCCATTATAACGGATCATGAAACAGAGCGATACTATTACTGAACATATTGGAGTTGACAGTGGTCTTGAACAAACATAACATGTAATACATTTGATTATATAAAAAAATTTTGGTGGTATTTGAGAAGATACACCTGATAACCAAATACATCAAACAGCGCCCAAATGATAATATAAAAGGTTGGCGAATTGTGGGCACGGCATTCCGATTCTGGTGACAACCGTTAACAACGATGCTCTTCTACGTGCTCATCGCTCTCATGCTCCTCAGCACCTTTACTCAAGCAGATATTGAAAACGTACGTTCCAACTATTTAGAAATTCCATAGAAGTGTTGCCTTTTTTGTGAAGAGAATTGCCTCTCAGGAGTGCAAGGATCGTCACAATCCGACTACCTGCGCCAATTACGTGAACTGGGGCTGGTGCACCTCAACTGATCCTGGCAGAATTGGTCTTGCGAAAGCTAACTGCAAAAAAACATGTAACCTTTGTTGAAAGCAACATGTTATAAATAAATATTCGCAATAAACTTTCGACATATGGCATAGATAATAATTGGCATAGATAATGGATAATTGACATGATATGGCATAGATAATAATAATTGCTGGATAACCTTCAACGATATAAGTAGACAGGTCCACTGTCACAGATTTCATTGAAAACTGGAAAGTTTTGATGAAAGCAGAAGCTGCGTTTTCTGTTATAGGAAACCTCAACTCGGCAATTTCTCAGAGCAAGTTGCGTTTGTGCGCATTGTTAATGTTCTGTTTTGACAGAACTACATACTGAAAACGAAACAGTGTTTAAAAGTGCGCATTACATCAAAAAGAGCGCGCCAACTGGTCCTCAGTAAGAACGAAAGGAATGGTCTAGAAGAGAAGTACAGTACTCGCCGTTTGAAATCGAAAATTCACGCGAATAACGCGAATCCTCGTTAATTTCGTGAATTCGTTATAACTCGGTTCAAAATTGAGCTTTCGAGAATCCGAAGATATCTTTGAATTCAGCTCGTCGGACACTATAAGAATGTGCTTTGATACTTTGGAAAAGCTCCATATAGGATTGCGCCATGCACTCGATTTTCATCTCAAAAAGTAGTTGCTCGCATGTGATGTGATGTGTATATAATCCCGCTTATGCGGGCTGACCGCTACACACAGAGAAGGGCCTCAAAACTTACCCCAGAATGCGCCACGTACTCAATCTCATCCACTACATTGTGAGATTAGATGAATGTTATTTTCCGAATTCTTAGATCTTCATTTCGTTTTTAAGCGCTTACTGGCTTTACGTGTTCCCTCTGCTCTCAATATCCCATCCTCTGTATATCAAGTGGAATCTTTGAACAGTTCTCAGCAGGCATAGTGGGCCTATTATGTGACATTTTCCATTTTCAGAGGAGATGTTTTGCAGAAAGCTGTGAAGATAGCGAACAATTTCCTTCACTGTCGTAGACTACGGTCACTTGTCTGTAAGGATTATATGGAAACCTTGGTCGCAGGTGAGCGTTTATTCCGCGGTGCGACCCCAAGCATCACCCCTTGTCATGCCTTTGTCCCCTATTACGTGAGAAGTCCCTTTTTTAGA